GTTAGAACACTGGTCAAAAACAGAGGTTTATCGGGGAAAACAGGGTACAAAAAGTCGCATTCAGAAAAGGATTTAACATAGTGCGATCTCCAACATTTATATGCGGATAAGGCGCGAGACAACTCAGACACGAAACTTCTCAGATGATTCACGGCGGTGTTGCTTCAGTCGCCAACTGTTTTTCTCTGAAACACGGGAACAAGTTGGAGATAAACGTGGACATCGTTGTCAACACCTGTGTTGTGAAGTATTGAGAAAATCTCCCACCCGAAGTGGGAGCTCTTCCTTCGCACTACAGAAGTTCGTCATAAGCGATGTACACCAGACTAGATGTGATAGCAAGGTCGGCTTCGCTTCCTATTGCCACCAGCGTAGCGACTCTGCACTTTCCACTAGACAGTAGCTGACGTAACATTGGACGAGTACTTGCGTGCAAGGTCTGAAATGCGGCTCATTTGGCAGAAGCAAAGGTCACGCCAGGGAGACCGCCACCCATACACCAAGTCGAAAACATGGCGTTACAAAGACGTTTGAAAACAAGTTCTTCTTACGAAGGTAAATGCAATACCTTGTTTGTTTGACCATCTGTGTGACTGGCTATCAGTTTCTGTTTTTCATGCTCTTGTGCATGTGGGCTGGACTTCGGGCCTAGCCAAAGCCCAATTCCTCTCCCTTCTGCCCCCACCCCACTCCTGACTACATGCATCATTTAGCCCTAATAAATGCTTTCATCCACCTAGTGTGAAGTTCCGAGATTTCACACCACCAATATATTGTTCTGAGAATTTTTCGTAAGTAATTTAGCGCATACCTGTACATCATATTAAGTTGTCTTTTGTAGAGGAGAGGCGAGGAACCAATACAATCGCCGCCCTAGAGCGCGAGTACCTAGCCTCGTGACTGTTACGGACGCATCTTCCCGTTTCAGCTTGCACCCTTTTACTTATGGCCCATAATTTCTCTCAGAGTGATCCTCTTCCTACGAAGCCTGAGGCCAAAGGCTTAGAGGGCAAGGCAGGAGAAAGTAAACGAACGCCTTGGGTGAACACATACATTTGACCAAAAAGGGAAAGGACATTGGTATTTAGGTAAGATCTCAGGATCGCCCTACGTTCCAGAAGCAATTCGACCAACAATGTGACAGCAACTGTCGAATAAAGAATTGCAGTCACTGTAGCCTCCATGTGGCACTCTCTGGCTTCGTTCATAGGTAGGCAGGTATTCACAAATCGCGATTCGACATATGCAGTGCCTGAATATCATTTACCGTTTACAGAAGAAAGACGCATGCTAACTTAACCGTCAGATATCAGGTGGCTACTCTAGGATAGCCCAAATGTAGCCTTCCATTCTTTGATATCTACTTACTCTGGTGGGACAAAATCATCGTAAATGCAGCTTTGACATATGCTCTGCCCTTTCGAGTCTGGCGTTTCTACGTGGGGGATGACCCTCGTACCATGTTCATGCCTAGTCGCCTCGCTCTTGTTGGAACACATGTATTTAAATTCAACTACTGCTTTTCTACACCCGGTGAGAAGTCTCGCGACACTACATCATACTTGA